CTCTGGCAAACCACTTCCGAAAAACAGTTGCCTTGAAAACTGCAAGGACTCATCCAAGCAGCCACTGCAGGGTCAGCAATGACTGAGCGCAGACAAAAAAAAAATAAAAAATCTATATTTATATTTAAAAGGCTGGATGAAATATCATCATCATTCCACACTGTAAAATTTAGGGCCTAAACTGGGTTACTAGATACAACTGCTGGGGTCATCCAACAGGTTAAGCCAAATCAGACAAGTGATACCACGACTCCAGGTAATAAAGGGACTCAGCTGGAGCCTTTTACACATGTTAAGTATGTGTCTGGCTGCTGTTGCCTGAACCTTGCCTCAATGTTAAAATTGTTACAGTTTTCTCATAGTTGGAACCACAAATGCTTCTGTTTGTAAACAATCCTGTGTAAACCTATTCAAAGCAAATCCCTCTGGGCAATAGAGCCCTAGCTTTAATTTCTTTCCATGTGCTATGAATCCTTGTGGGCTGGCAGCAAAACTCAAACCATTCTTTTTGAATTAGGTATTTCATGGTTTCTTCCTCAGTTGTTTAATCTGGCAAATGCAGTCACAATTTCTGATTTGCCAATTTGGGGTATACAAAATAATCTCCCTCCCATGCTGGAGAATTGTGGACAAATATTAATGTTGACAAATGTTTGCAAATTGTGATATTGTTTAAAACAGATATAGTTCCATTGTGAGTTGGCAAATATTACCAGTGAATTTAAAAAGTGAATGAATTAAACATTTTTAAAAAGCGATTAGCTTTTTTTTCAGTTAGAATCCTGAAAAAGTCTCAGGTGGAGAATGTTTTCTCTATTTCCATAATTTTTTGGGGGACCAATTACCACTTGGTTTAAGGATAAGGGATATTCCTTCATATGTAAGTGTCACAACTTTTTCAAAACTTTTCCAGACTCCTATGTACTTCGAGATATACTATATATCTTGTTCTTTGAAGAGTGGTAACATTTCTTAACTCTGCTACATGCTCCAATGATTGATTCTGTGCCATCAAGTTGGTTTTGACTCCTAGCAACCACATAGTTTTTCTCCATGATACGATCCATTACGCTAAAGAATTTAAGACACAGTGCGCTAAGGCCATCTTTATGTTTCCAAAAGCAGCTAGTCAGAAGCTCCAGGGCAGAGTCTGAAGATGATGGCTGTTCCTTGTTGCTAAGAAGCATAGTATTTGGAGGTATAGTGTCTCTGAACATGGAAGATCTTTTTAACAAGTCCAGCACCAACTGCATTTGTAGGGAGCATCTGTTCTAGTAGTTTCTCTGCTCTTCCGTCAGCCTTCTTCCACTCCTCTTTCAAAATTACCTTTCAAGGACATCTAAATTAATAGCCATCATCTCATCTGATGACAACCCATTTCCAAAGGATCAATGCCTCACCAAGCCAGAATGTGGTTTGCCTAGCTATGATGATCTGCTAACCATAATTTGTTTAGTGTGTTTGAATCTAATGTTAATTTATTTAGTAATCCATGGCATAGCATATTGTGTGAACACAGCCATTGCATGTCTGAGATGTCAGGCTAGGACTAGGTTATCCTATTATGCTTGTTGCTTTTTCTCATCAAAAATGGATTATAGGCAGGTAATAAGAGCATCTTTGGTTCAGTTCCTGGAATCTCTAGGGGAAATCTAGATCTGGAAAGAAAAGAACTCTTGGAGACTTACTAATACTCAGTAATACTAGGTTAGATGAACTTGGTGACCTGGTACAATGATGAACCAGGCCATGGTTTGTTTAACCATGGTTTATTAAAACAATTGTGACACACTTAAGCTATAAACCATATTTTAAAAGCCACAGTGCCTGGGTCCACATTATGGCTTATTGCAATATGTGAACCTGGCCTGTTAAAAACTGCTGGAAATCTCATCAATAAAATACGTATGGTACTGTCCATGTACCTCTACTGATCGCATTTAGAGCATAACTAACAGACAGCATGCCCTGCCTGCCTGGCTGAGGCAGGATGGTGGCCTTTGAGGGCCAAAATTCTTCAGAAGTTTTCTTCTCCAGTTATCCTTTGAAGATTCTCTGCTGAGGAGGTGGTTGCCATGGACACAAGTGCTGATTTAGGATTCAGCCATTGGCCTCCCCAGTAGCAGCCTAGCCCATCATCCAAGCCTGTCTGAAAGTCAACATAGTGGCTGTTCTCACATTGCATTTGTAGTCCTGATTAATTTAACCCTGGTTTACTCCAACTGGTTTTCTATGTTTGTATAGGTATACTCACAGGATATAGTGTGGTTGATTAGTGTGATGTTCAGTGTGTGTCACATAGCCCAGACAATATTATTGCTATTTCTTTTATAAATCTTTGAAGTATAATTTGATACAATTGGATCTATCTGCTTTGATGGTTCTGAGGGAGCTTATGTTCAGAAGTTTAGAGGCTAGACTGGCTTTTCACATGATGTTAAGCTGTGGTTTGTGGAATAAGTACAGTGGCCTGCTTCACACAATTTCCTGAACATAACTCACGTGCTGGGTTCACGTGACAAGCAAAATCACAAAGCTGCAAACGTTATGGCGTAGTGTGTTTCACAAACAAGTGATAGACTAGCATTTCAAAACCAAGCTTTAAGCTCAAAGTAACATTCAACGCTCTGCTGTTTTAAAGAACGTACCCGTAAGATGCCAAGCCATCTTCTGATACAACTCACTTGTTTGCAGGAACTCTAAAAAAGAAAATGAATTAAGCCTGGCAGTTGCTCGAGTGAGGGATCTGGATGCTCAGCTAAACTCCAAAGAGGCTGAACTGGTGACAGCGTTACACAGGCAGCAGAGTTTAGAGAAAGATCTTCAAGAATCCAAGGATCAAATGATCTCTGTAAGGGATTGTTCAGAGAAATTTCAGCTGTCCTGTTAAAATTGTGGTGGCCGTTCTTCATAATCTGCACTGCGTATTTACTTTGGTTTGGGTTTATTTTGCTACGCTGTCTTCTCTGAAGTGGTGGGGGGACTTTGGTTCCCACAGTATTTGGGTCTGATTTCCTTGTGAATGAGGTCCATGGAGGTGTACAGTGTTTTTGTAATAATTGGGGGGTTTATTCACAACCATACCATTTGAGCATACATGGACACCCACCCATCAGCCAAATCCACCCATCAATAAATCTCCACAATCTTGCATTCCTTAATGCTGTTAAAAACTCCAAAAATGATCTCCTCATTCAAAAACTGGGCTTTATTTGCTTTCCTAAGTATGCTCACCTAGAAATACATTAACTCAAGTGGACTCATATATCTCAGGGACTTAGGGGAGATTTCAGCTACCAAATCCATGCTAGTCTGTGAATCTCTATTGATGCCAAGGTCTTCACTAAGTTCCTTGTATTCCATAGCTTATGACATTAACTGGTAGCTCTAGTTGGGTTGGTGAAATAACGTCCTGGTACACATAGTTGGCTGGAATCACACAATACACCAAGCCAAAACAAACTACATTACATAGTTTAGGGTGTGAACCTAATCAGTATTACATGCTGAAAAACATGGCAATGCACGTTTGTTTTATCTACAATTAGTAAGAATAACAAAAGCCTGCCTGCTGTTTTACAATCTAAAATGCTCTGCTGGAATTGGCTGACTTGAAATAGTTTGCCTTTAGGCTATAGCAGTATATGAATCTTGAAAGACAGGTGATTAGAACAACCTCACACACAATCTTAGCCAAAGCCCTAACTAGTGTAACTTAGAGTGCAAATGCTTCCTTGAGTATAGGGAACACTTTTTTTTTTTATCCTTTTCTAGCTTAAGGAGCTGGTGAATGATTCCAGAAATGAACTTCAGAATGAGAAGTTGAAAAGAGCAGACTTGGAAAATCAAGTGAAAACTCTCCAAGAACAAGTGGGATTTCTCAAGACCCTCCATGAAGATGTACGTATGTACTGTATGTCAGTCCAAAATGCCAACTGGATCCATTCTGTTATAGCTTGAGAACTTGTACAAATTATTTGAAGGAGCATGTTCTTTGTGATATAAGATATTTTTTTCTGTGGTGGCCATGAGGGCAAGAGCTGACAAGGTTAAAAGCAAAGGGACTGATGCTAGTCTGGCCCATTACAATAAAAAAGTACAAGTGCCAACCATTTTTCCTGCTGAGAATCAGGTGGCCCTCAGACCATTACAGCAGAGAGGCAGGAGAAAGAGAAAATGTCTAGGTTTGAATTCTAGAAATTACAGTGTTTATTTTTTCTCATTAGTAAAAACTTTCCTAGCATCTACAAGGGAAATATCAGAGCCAGGTCCTTGAATATCTGGCTGTGAGCCTTCTAATTCAAGAACTCATCTGGATGAAGCTTGATAGTGGCTTATTTTTCTAACTTCGCATGCTCTATGCTGCTATCATGAGTTGACACTGACTCAGTCTCCGTTTTTAGAATATTTGTGAAGTCTTTGTTTAGATTTTTGAAAAGATAACAAAACCAAGTAGTATATCATCTTTCTAAATGGTTCTACAACCTCTTGATTTTACAGGTGAAACTCGAAAAATTAGAATATCATGCAAATGTTCATTTATGTCAGTACGGCAACTCAAAAGGTGAAACC